CGGATAAAACTATTCGGATAAAATTACTCGGTTAAAACTACTCGGTTAAAACTACTCGGTTAAAACTACTCGGTTAAAACTACTCGGTTAAAACTACTCGGATAAAACTAAACCGAGAGGCTAGATAATTTTAATATTGCGATATTTGTTCATGTTATCCTGGATAATTAAATAAAATAAATTCTAGTTTAAACTGTTAGCATAAATTAATATGTTTAATAATACCATCATTGTAGTTTAATTAAAAATAAAAAATTTTAAACATAAAAATAAGATTTTGTTGTAAAGAATGTATTTGTTTGTTTCAAATTAAAATAAATATACAATTAAACGTAAATATTTATTGTCTTACTTCTAGAATAATATAGATATTTTAAAATGCACAATAAATATAAAAATAACCTTATTCTCAAATTATTTGTGCCGAATACGTAGTCCAATTATTGTAAATTAAAATATGTTGCAGTGTTTGAATGTGTACTACGGAATTTTATTACAGCTTGCTAATTTTATTTTTACTCTATCTAAATAATTATTGAAATGCTCAATGTAATCCATATAATTATTAGCCACATCGCTCACAAATATTTATTGTATCTAATTGTCGTTACATTAATATTTTACAAAATATATTTATATTTGTATCAAACATTTAATAACTGTTTCTCTTGAGTTAAATTAAATGTGCAAACAATTTAAATAATTAAATTAATTATTTAAAATAAATCAAATTATGTTGAAATAATTTTATTAATATATTTTTTTTTAAATCTCTACATATAACTTGACTGTAAACTAATTGTGCTATAATTTAATTTAAATATGGTGTAGTTTAATTAACAATTATAAATCTATTAATATTTAATATAAAATATGTGATTGTATTATATTAAATATTATAAAATGTGTGATTTAAAAAATATTTAATTTATATTATGTTCTGGTTTGTTTAAAATAATTATATATGCAATAATTGTATTATTAATCATATAGTTTGTTAAATTATAATAAAATTTGTATAAATCCAGCATTATTTAATTACATAATTAATAAATAAATTTTATTAACTTTAAATATGTAATGTATTTGTTGAGTTTAAATACAATATTTAATTGGTACATCTGTAAATAAATAAATAATTTTTAGTAGGTCTGAACCTTAGCCAACCTATTATTTTAAAATAAAATATTAGGTAAGTTTAAATGTATATTAAACAATTTAAATACAGTTTCAACAATATTTTTGTAATTTTGTTATAATCTAAAATGCCACTGTACTTTGTATAAAATAATACAATGTAATGAATATTTATAATTATAAACATATAAAAACAAACAAATAAAGCACACTTAATGATACGTCTCAATCAAGATTCGTTTAGTGTTTATAAAATACATTAGCATGATTAAATCTACCTATGATAGGTAATATAAGTCCCATATTATTGTTGATAGACTTTACATTATCAATTAAAACACGAGTGCTGTAAACTTAACATACCTCATAAAATTAAGATAGTGATTATTATCTGTTTGGCCTTATTGAATTTTGTACTAACATACATTATACCTACAATCGTGTTAATTATTATTATATTACATTATTATTTATTACTGATGTTAGCCCCACCAACTGTTTGCACACCTTTAGTCATACATGTTTATGCAACACCCTATGTTATTTTATATTTAAATTCTGTAAATATTTTAATTAATTGATGTGATATTATCATTTGTTGTGTAATGGTAAGTTATACCTTATAAGTTATATTGTTTCTATTACTCTCGATTAATTAAGTATTTCTAAATTTATATAAACTCGTAAGTCAAACTGTAAACAAAATTATTCTTTTATAATAATATAATTATAATCAAAATTTCTAATAAATTTTGGCAGGTTGATAACGACATATATTATTTATAAATTCGCCGCATTAAATAATATAAATGATTTAAATATATTAAATATATTTTACTAAAATATTTACTAATAAGTAAATTACATTAAGATATGCAAAATAATTCTTGTACTAAATGATTGTTATTAATTAATTTTAATAAATATATTATTGCATTTTGAAACATTTTATTGACATGTTTTCTGAAAAAATTAATTTATTCATTCAATTCAATTATGTTTAGATTTCGCCCGCAGTTTAATAGACGGATGTGTTATAAATGGAATTATAAATTATTAAAATATTTTCCAAAACGAAGTAATAAATTATTAGATTGTATTGATTTTTATTAGACATCAAAACATAGCACAAAGTGTAAGCAAAAAATTATTTGAATTACAAAATCTGGTAAACATTTGTTTGATTATTTGTAAATCAATTTTTTTTAACTAAATGATTGTTTGTAATTAAATTTTAATTTATATTTTATTGTATTTTAAACATGACTATTACAGTATTAACAAGTTTTTTTTGAACAAAATTCATTATGCGATTTTTATATTGCTATAAGTAATTAATTAAACTTAAAATTGTGAATTAATGAACATGCGACTTAAAACTGTAAATATAAATTATTGTTTTTAATACTACAATGATTGTAAATTATTATGAATTACCTTGGTCTAGAGTTGGCGAAGACACATTATTAAACTAAATTAAAAATTGATTTTGTCTCTTAATTTTATTGCTATATAAAAATTAATTTTTTACCCACAATTCAGCCATGTACGTAAACTCCGTTATTACTACTTTTAACATAGTTTGCCGTTTAACAGGCAACTAATTGTGCCAATAATTAAATAGATTGTAATAAGTTATAGTTAAATAAACTATTAAATGTAAATAAAATACATATGGTAGTTTAAACTGTAAACATAAATAAGAATAATAAATAATATAATTATTGGAAATTATTAAAAATAAACTTGGCTTTAATGTTATTATGTGCTAAGTGTTAAATAACTTTTTGGTTTGTATACTTTAATCAAATTAAAAGTTTTAACAATGATGGTAACTGTTATGACCCGATAAACAAATTAAATAATATTGCAAACTATTGTATATAAAATTGGTTAAAACCAAATAAAATATAATGTGAATATTTAAATTGTATAATTTAGATTATATACAATGAATTAATTTTATAGGTATTTATAGTTTACTTTTATATGTAAGTAAGATAAACTAAATAATGAATGAATAGATAGTATTATTTTCTATTAGACGTCAAGACATGACATAAGCAAGAAATAATCACAATTACAAAATTTGATAAACATTTGTTTGATTATTTGTAAATCAATTTTACGATTGGTGCAATAAATATAGTCGAGGCGAATTAGTCGGATCCATCTATTGTAAAATATAATACAGTCAATTACCTTTGCTGTCAACTATCTGTCCTGTCAACTAATCGATCATATCAACCAAACTCTAAAACCCAAATACACACCGCATAGATATAATGTTAAAATAATCTCTATGTTGTCAACATCTGTGTTGTCAACAATCTATCATATCAACACATTTTGTCTTAATATTTGTGGCATTTATATGCAAAATTATATCTTTCCTGTCAACCAAAACTAAAACATAATACGCAAACGCAAACCAATGCATTATATGCTTTGATCAAACGTTAGTCTTGTATTAAACGGTAAATAAGTTTAAACCCCAATACTTTTTACAAAAGGTTGCCTATTATTGTATTAAAAATGCCTGAAAAGCGAAACAAATGATCGATTTAAACAAAATATGAGATAATTCATAAACTAAAGAGTGGTTTAATGATAATTTAAATGATATGCAGTCTTTGGATAAACTTTAATTCATTAAAACAATCAAACATTACTGATTATTTCTTAAAAAAGTTAATGTTATGTAAATTCCAGCTAATAAATGAATTTTTAATCAATTTTTGTGTATTATCTATGTTATCAACTAATCGATGTTATCAACCAAATCACCTGGAACCGTTCTGTTGACAGCAAAGGTAATTGACTGTATTAATAATTAGTAATTACTTTTACCGTACATTGTTAAAATATTGGAAATTTTTAATCAATTTTTGTGTATTATCTATGTTATCAACTAATCGATGTTATCAACCAAATCACCTGGAACCGTTCTGTTGACAGCAAAGATAATTGACTGTACTAAACTAAATCACTAAAAAGTATACAGTATTTATATTTAAAAGTATTATTTTTATACAATTTAAAAAATATTCTAAAAATTTAAGCAATTCATCTTGTTTAATAAATTGCAATAAATGTTTTGTGTTGATAATTAAAATTGCAATAAAAAAGCGCTTCACTGGACACACATTCGTACAAATGTTTAAAGATTGAGAATTCATACGTGATTTGAGTAAAGTATTCACATAGCGTTTAAATAAAATCCTATTTGTTTTATTAATTTATAATATATTTTATGACATTTCTTGTCGAGTCTTCTCTCGTCTTAACTATTGAGACATAAATTTGCAAATTTTTGTAAAAGCATTTGATTGTGTTTTTTGATGAGATTGTTGTCGACATATTTTATAATAATATTATTATGAGTTTTTTTTATAGTTTTAATATTACGTCAATATACACTTTTAATAATATATAAAATCCTTTTATTATACAGTATAATAATTTATACTTATTTAATTTATAACTAACTAATCCGTTCTGTTATGAAATGTTTTTTAAAAGCATTACACTTTTTTATTCTAATGTAATTGATTTAAAATAAAATTATTAATTAAACAGGAATTTTGATGTATTTAATTGGCGATATATTTGAGTGCAATTTATGCAAGGTCATATAAACTAAAAATATTGTTTGTTTAGTTAATATCACTTCATTTTAAATCATAAAGTTTTTAATTACACAATAATTGCAAAGAACTTTATTACTCGCAAAATGTTGTTATAGTGTTATTTTTTAGAAGAACCTGCACACTATTAATATGTTCTAGATCATATAATTGTTATACAATTGTTATTCCTTATCATATGTCTGTAATAAACAATTAAATGTTGTAATATTTTATTGAATTCTTGTGTGAAATAACGTCAAACGGAATCGAGATTTGAAACTTCAAAGTCATAACCATTTCTTTTAAAACTCGGCCAACAGTTTCCCATTTATTCATTCATTGATTTGAATATTAAAGCATTCATTTTATGCAAAACCAAATCTCCAGTAAATTTGTTAGGAATGAAAGAATGGGAATCAAAATTTTCTGACAAAAACTCAAGTAATAAATCGTCTGATGATTACGTCGGCGATGAAGACGAACGCATGGTTTGAATAAATCCTCAATTTTAATGTTTAACGAGATTTCAATTTAAATGTTATAAACAATGTTTTAATAGGAGATCTTCTATTATAAGAAGACATGGCTTAAAACGATTATCACTTACATATCAATAGTATTAACGGCTCTAATATTAAAATTGATATTTTATTGGAAACCTGTCTATTGGTTGTATTGCACTCATAGTCGGTGCGATGCTATTGATGCCGAATATGTGCTGTTAGTTGTAAGCACTTAATCATTCAGTTTCTTATCAAAGAAATGTATGTTTGAATATATTTCTGTGACATTTCAGGACAAATACGACCAGATATTTGTCGAGGAAGTCATATCACTGTCCGGGAAGAGCCAACAGCGCTATGTTGTGCCCAAAGGCAACGGCACTTTCGACAGCACAGACTTTCTTCGATACTTCGAGAACAAGAAGATCCGTTACCTCTGGAAAGAACAAAACCTTAAGTTTGAAAAACTTTATGGTTTGGATCGAGATATCATTTGTTCAACTTTTTCACAGCATAACGGACTCAATGATGAACAACAATTTCAAAGGTATTCATCAAATGATAGATTTGAAAAATGTTTGAAGAATTGTTTATTTATGACCAGAACTGTGTTATACGGCGAGAATCAGATTGAAATCAAAGTGCAGTCTTTGTTGCAGATATTATTCCAAGAAGTGTTGAGCCCTTTCTATATCTTTCAAGTGGCGGCTATAGTGTTGTGGTGTTTGGATGAGTACTACTATTACGGCAGTTTCATTCTTCTCATGTCCATCGGATCCCTTCTCTCGAGTACTCTTCAGATCCGCAGAAATCAGAAGAAGTTAAGGAAAACAGTCGGCGGCGACGCTATGATTGAGGTGTGGAAAGGAGGGGACACTTATCAAACACAATCGTCCAATCATTTGGTTCCCGGAGATGTCATAGTATTGCCATCAAATGGCTTTGATATGGTCTGCGATGTCGTCCTCCTTAACGGCAACGCTATTGTCGACGAAAGTATGTTAACGGGAGAGAGTGTTCCGGTCATGAAGTCGGCCATCGCTGCCAGTAATACCGACTTCAGTTGCGTTCATCACTTCAAACACATTATATTCTCGGGAACTAAAGTCATTCAAACCCGATATTACGGACTCGAGAAAGTGAAAGCAGTGGTCATACGGACCAGTTTCCAGACGGCCAAAGGCGAATTGATCAGGTCCATTTTGTTCCCCAAACCTGT